GACATTTCGTGCACGTTGGTGGCGAGTACGCGAGTGAGGAAAACAGATCTCTCGTCTGGCGAGAGATCGACGTCGCGTTCGAGAGTCGTATTCTGACCGGCGCGGTTATCAACGCGGATTACATCGAGCCGCGACGGTTTTTAGAAGACGCTGCCGATGTAGTGCTCGAGCGAGTGCGAGACGCTGTAGAGAGACACGATAGTGTGAAGGTGAACACCGCGTTCAACGGTGAGTTTGTGGTGAACGATAAACGCGCTAATAAAAGTATAAACACTAAGAACCGTGAAATATATCGATGCACCGATTTGCGCGAGTGGTACGTGTCACGCGTCATCAAGCCCACGTTGGCGTCGCTCGAAGAGTTCCAGGAACGCGACAGCGGGTGGGCGCTATCGCGAATCCATAATTTGACTGTTAACGTGAACAAACTAAATTCTATACGCGCGGGATGCCACATAGATGCGCCGCGGGAAATAGCGACGAAACGAGCGTTGATCAGTATGCGTTCGGCGGACAATGCATGCTTTGCGTGGTCGGTGGTCGCCGCTCTATATCCTGCAGAAAGAAAAGTGGATCGTGAATCATCGTATCCGCATTACACATAGGTGTTGAACCTCGCGGGTATTGAACCTCGAGTTTACGATGACTTTAAAAGACATTCCGAAATTCGAACATTCGAACGTGGTGTCGATCAATGTATAATCGAGAATAAACAGGTCCTTCCTCTGCGGTTCACCGGCGACAAGAAGGACAAGCATGTCAATATGTTATATCTGCAAGATCCACGCGACGACAGCCTCTGCCACTTTGCGTGGATCAAAAATTTGTCTCGTCTCGTAACATCACAAATTACTGGGAACAAGAACAAGAAATTTTTCTGCGACCGGTAAGCGTGATAAGAAAAGTTGATAAAAGACAGTAAAAAAGAAATAGTGGAAAAAAATAATTTTTATTTGCAGGTACCTTAACTATTTTGGCTCGTGCGAAAAATTGGAGATCCACAACGAAGACTGTGGTAAAATGAATGACTGCACCATCCGACTACCGAGCGACGAGAACAAGTGGCTCGAATTCGGCAACCACTGCAGAAAGGAGCGCGTACCTTTCGTGGAGTACGCCGACTTGGAGTGCATGCTGCGGAAGACGGAACCCGGCAGGGAAGACGCGTCATCGTACGCGTATCAATAACATGAAGTGTGTAGTATCGGGTACTACATGCGATGCTCGTACGACGACGCGTTATCGTCATATCAGTTCCGTCGCGATAACGATTGCGTCGCGTGGTTCGCGCGACAACTCGAGGACTTGGCACATCGCGTGAAAAATTTGGTATCCACTAACCTGCCTAAGGAAGTGTTGTCTAAACAGCAATGGGAGGCGTACCGTGTCGCGTAGCGCGATGCGGTGTCACATCTACGAGAAACCATTTGCACCGAACGACACTCGGGTCTGCGATCATTGCTATCTCACCGGTAGATACCGTGGTCCAGCGCATGCAAATTGTAATCTTAATTACAAAAATTCGTTCTATTGTATATTCCGGTTGTATTTCACAATTTATCGGGCACACTTTGTAATTAAAGAAATCGCTATCGCGTACGAAGGGCAAATAGATGTACTGCTGATTACAAACGAAAAATATATATCGTTTAGGAAACATATTCAAGATACCACCGAAAAAGAATCTCGAAATTGCAAATTACGATTTATCCATTCGTACAAGTTTCTCAGTACAAGTCTAGAAAAATTGGCGTCGTATCTCGATAAGGATAAATTAAAAATTGTACGTTCGGAATTTCCAACATTATCAGACGAAGAATTTGAATTACTCACGCGAAAAGGCGTATTTCCGTACGAGTACGTTGACTGCGTTGAAAAATTGCAGGACACGCGCTTACCACCGCGCGAATCATTTTATAGCTCGCTGACAGGTGATACCGTATCCGAGAGCGATTACGCTCACGCCGTGAACGTATGGCAGCGATTCTTCATTCAAACGCTCGGAGAGTACAGTGATCTGTACTTGAAAACCGATGTTTTGTTATTTGCCGATATTTTCGAAAATTTCCGCGAAAATTGTGTAGCGAGTTACGGTCTCGATCCCGTGCATTACTACACATTGCCTGGTTTCATGGCATGGAATGCCATGTTGAAACATACGCGCGTAAGATTCGAGTTGCTCACTGACATTGATATGGTCATGTTCATCGAGCGCGATATACGCAGTGGCCTCAATCAATGTTCCAATAGATACGCGCAGGCTAATAATAACAAGTACATGCGATTCATCGAAACCGTCGTACTTAATGTACTACGATGTGAACAATCTGTACGGGTGGGTGATGTGTCAATCGTTGCCATACGCTGAGTTTCGATGAGTCGAAGACGTTGTCAACTTTGACGCGAGCGCGATCGCTTCGGATTCGCCCACTGGTTATCTTCTCGAGGTCGACTTCGAGTATCCACATCTGCACGATCGACACATTGACCTGCCTTTCTGCCCAACACGCGATAAGCCGCCCGGCAAGCGCGAGGATAAACTTCTCGCGACGCTGTACGGTAAGCAGCGTTACGTCATCCACTATCGCAACCTGCAGCAATGTATTCATCACGGTCTTCGCGTAACAAAAATTCATAAAGTGCTACAATTCGTTCAAACCGCCTGGCTTCACAAGTACATAGATATGCAATTTAGAACTCACGCTAAAAACGATTTTGAAAAAAATTGGTACAAATTAATGGAAGTACACTAGTAACGCCCATTCTAACTTAGGTTCTCTGAGGGGGGATGCGGCGCGGGGGATCCGCGGAGAGGGGAGGGGGTGACGTCACTAGGCGAGGGGGCTGACGTCACGGAGAGGGGGAAGGGATGATGTCACCGTGGGTGACGTCACTAGGCGAGGGAGCTGACGTCACGGAGAGGGGGAGGGAGATGACGTCTCAGTGGGTGACGTCACTGGGTGAGGGGGCGACGTCACGGGGAGGGGAGAGAGATGACGTCATAGTGGGTGACGTCACTGGGCGAAGGGGTTGACGTCACAGGGAGGATGGCGACGTTACAGGCGAGGGGTGTGAAAAATTCCAATGCGCGTCGGGGTCCGCCAGAGCCTCCGGGCGCGACACCTCCGGCAGCCTCCGCGCGCGGTCCCTCCTGCAGCCTCCGGGCGCGACCCCTTCGGCTGCCTCCGGGCACGGTCCCTCTGGCTGCCTCCGGACGCGGTCCGCAGCCGCCATCGCGCGCGCGGGCCGTCGCCGCCGAGCGCGGTCCCCGCTATACTTACCATATATACTCACCGTGTATACTTACCATCTCTCTCTCGCTCTTATGCGGTATCTTCTTATGCAGCAGTATTTTTTTCTCGCACGCAAAGATTTTTATTTTTATTTATACATATTTAATTATTTTATGTTATATTTATTTCATTTTATTTCATTTTATTTTATAACTTTACATTTATGTTTGCGCGTATCTATTATTTAATAACAGCGCGATGTGTCCATATGGTCGCGCGCGATGATGTGAGCGTAATATGACGTTGCGAAGAAGGAAGGAATGAAGGAATGATAAAATGTGAAAACGGAGATATGTTTACTAAAGCAATTATATATTTACTATACTTACTGATTTTCCCCAATGCAGCTTCATATTTTCTCCGTGTGAACGCTTTCCGCAACTACTCGCTCTAAAAGATCTTAAATCTATCGCAGAATCAAACGCTTAATACGGGCGCGATAACGCTATCGTAGCGCAACATAATACGATGCGGAAATAAGGTGGATAAGCTTAGGAAGGATGGAATGAATAACGACAAATACTGAGACATGTAGAATATTAATAAACATTGGAAATATGCGGCTACAATTTAAGAATTTTATATGCAAAAGACACGCCTGATGAGACCATTATTGTAATTTAATACCACAAAAATGCAACATGTTATGTCATATTTCGCGATCTCCTCATCAATGTAATTTGATACCATAAAAATGCAACGTTTGCGAAAAAGATGCTCAATATGATAGAATTATACAACAACCATGTTAGATTTAGCGTAATGAAAGAATTTTTCAAGGACATTTGAAATGTTCGATGATATCATCATCATAAATAGCACAAATAATGGTATAAAAATGTAAGGATTTAGGCGCATCGCGTCATTAGTCAATCTAACAGCAAAAGTGACAACATGGAGCGAGATTTGATTGAGCAAGCTACCCTGCTAAATACAAGAGAAGAGTACGTCGCGTGGGAACAGCGATGCGAATTTATAGAATCTCTGGAAGAGCAGAGCCGTATTAAACGTCCGCGATTATCGATCGGTAATAGACAATCGGTGATCGCATGTATCGCGCAACTTGAAAGCTTGAAGAATTCGATGTGCGGACGATTTGTGCACGTAGGCGTAGAATATGGACTTCGATGGCGCGAGATCGAAACGGCATTCGAAAGCCGGATTCTAACAGGCGCGATAATAAACTCTAATTATATCGAACCTCGCCGATTCCTCGAAGACGCGAGTGAAATTGTGCTCGAGAGTGTGCAGTGTGTTTTACAGAGATATGACTCTTTAAAAATAAATACAGTATTTAACGGTGAATTCGTGGCTGGGGACAAACGCGCGAACAAGTGCATCACTACCCGGAACTATGAACTATATCAATGCACAGATTTGCACGAGTGGTACATGTTGCGCGTCATCGATCCAATTCTAGCATCGTTCGAAGAATTTCAAGAACGTGACAACGGGTGGGCATTATCACGTATCTTCAATTTAATGATAAACGCAAATAAATTAAATCCTCTGCGCGCGGGATGTCATATCAAACTCCCGCGAGAAATTATGCTGAAGAGAGCGGTGATGAACGTGCGATTCACAGACAATGCGTGTTTCGCGTAGTCGATGGTTCCAGCCCTGCATCCAGTCCAAAAACATGTGGACAGGGAATCATCGTATCCGCACTAGTCATCGGTACTGAATCTCCAAGATATTCAGTTTCCGATGACGTTACATCAAATAAAAAAATTTGAAACTCTAAACATTTCCATCAATGTCTACGCCATCGAGAAGGAGATTGTGCCGATACGACTCACCGATCGAAAGAGCAGCAAGCACGTAAACCTCTTGTACGTGGAGGATGACAGCGCAGGACATTTCGCGCTGATTAAAGATCTGCCCCGCCTTGTCAGTTCGCAAATCAATAGATATCGGCACAAGAAATATTTCTGTGATAGGTACGTATAAATAATAATAATAATAATAATTTTTCAGGTGCCTCCACTACTTTAACTCGAGCGCAAAATTGAAGACTCACAGTGAGGATTGTGGGAAATTGAACGATTGTGCGATAAGGCTACCGAGCGAAGACGACAAGTGGTTGAGCTTCCGCAATCACTGCAGGAAGGAGTGCGTCCCGTTCGTAGTCTACGCCGATTTTGAGTGCGTATTGGAAAAGATGGATAATGATTCACAATCCACTACGCACATGTACCAACATCACAACGTCTTAAGTATCGGTAACCTAACCGATTTCGCCGTGACAAAGACTGTATAACGTGATTCGCGGAAGAATTGAAAAATCTAGCGCACAGTGTACAGTCGAAAATTTCAGCTAATGTTCTCATGGCAGATTTCACGCGCGACGACTGGGAAAAATTTAATAGTGCCTCGCATTATCACGTGTGCGAGAAACCGTTTACACCAGACGATACGCGGGTACGCAATCACTGCCACTTAATCGGGCGATACAGAGGCCCCGCGCACTCAAATTGCAATCTAAATTATAAGGATTCGCATTGCATACCCACAGATTTCCATAACTTTTGGCTACACTCATTTGGCTACACTCATTTCATTATCAAGGAAATTGCCATCGCATACGAAGGATACGTTGATCTTTTACCGATAAATAAAGAAAAATACATCTCATTCACCAAACACGTTGATAGTACCAAAATCGATCAAAAGAATTGTGTACAATTACGTTTCATACATTCATATAGATTTCTCGCTTCTAGTTTAGACAAATTGTCATCTTTTCTCAACAATAATAAGCTGCGTGTACTGCGACGCGAATTTTTCGATTTATCGGAAGAAGATTTTAATCTTTTGACACGAAAGGGCGTCTTTCCGTACGAGTACATTGACTGCAGTGAAAAATTGAACGAATTGTGCTTACCGCCTCGCGAGTCATTCTACAGTTCATTGACGGACAACATGATATCTGAGAGTGATTACGCGCACGCCGTCAATGTGTGGCAGCAGTTCTCCATCCAAACGCTCGATGAATATAGTGATCTGTATCTAAAAACAGATGTATTGCTGTTGGCCGATGTCTTTGAAAATTTCCGCGACAGTTGCGTCGCGAGTTACGGGCTCGACCCCGCGTACTATTACACCTTACCCGGCTTCACATAGGATGCCATGTTGAAGCATACAGGTGTAAAATTTGAACTGCTCACAGACATTGACATGGTCATGTTTATCGAGCGCGGAATACGCGGTGGTCTGAGCCAGTGCTCAAATAGGTACGCACGAGCCAACAACAAATACATGCCGTCGTACGATCCATCGAAATCATCATCGCACTTGATGTACTATGACATCAACAACCTCTACGGCTGGGCAATGTGTCAACCACTGCCTTACGCTGATTTTCGATGGGTCGATGACGTGCACAATTTCGACTTTACAACCATTGCGTTAGATTCACCAACAGGCTATATTCGAGATGGACTTGGAGTACCCTCAACATCTCCACGACGCGTACACTGACTTACCGTTCTGTCCGACACGCGAGAAACCACCCGGCAAGCGTGAGGACAAGCTCCTCGCAACATTATGCAATAAGCAACGTTACGTCATCCACTATTACAACCTGCAGCAGTGTACACGTCACGGTCTCCGTATCGCAAAGTTTCACCGTATACTGCAATTCGCGCAAGCTCCATGGCTTCGCGATTATATAGAATTAAACACCAAATTTAGAACATTGGCAAAGAACGATTTTTGAGAAAAATTTATACAAACTGATGAATAACGCGGTATTTGGCAAAACCATGGAGAATGTGCGCGATCACGTCGATGCAAAATTATTGACAAAATGGGAAGGCAGATACGGTGCGGAGGCAATGATCGCCAAACCAAACTTCCACAGTCGTAGCGTCTTTTCGGAAAATCTGGTCGCGATAGAACTGCGTAAGCTCGAGGTCAAGTTCGACAAACCGATATACGTGAGTATGGGTATCCTCGATATATCTAAAACGTGTTTGTACGAATTTCATCATAAGTACACGGCACCGCTGTTTCGCGATAAATGCAAAATTATGTATACCCATACTGACAGTCTCATATACCATGTGAAATATGATGACGTTTATGATATCATGAAACGCGACATCAATAGATTTGACACTAGTGATTACTCTATCGATAACGCGTACGGTATTTCGCTCGCGAATAAAAAAGTTCCAGGCCTAATGAAAGACGAGAATAACGGTGCCATCATGACTGATTTCGTCGGGCTTAGAGCGAAAATGTGTACTTTACGTGTGTAAGGAAGAAAAGATACGAAAAAGGCAAAGGATGTCAAGAGCAGCGTTGTGGCAAAATCCATAACATTTGAGGATTACACACGCTGCTTGAACGACGCAATCGAAATGACGCGCAGTCGTGCATTAGATCAAAATTACACGAGGTGTACACGATATCGGAAACTTGTTCTTAGTCCGCACGATGATAAGCGGTATATCGTATCAGGTTCCACCAACACGCTGCCATAAGGACATTACCGGTATAAATAAAACGTATTTCGCATATGTATAAATGTGTAATATGTACGAGTATAATATGTATACAATGTATAATATGTACTGTGACGTGACGTTTTTCACCGTCCGTCACAAGGGTCGTTCGACCTGGCCGAAGTAGCGCGGCAAATTTGTCCTGTGTCCTCCCGACGCGGAGGGCGGGCGTGCCGACGCTTGTTGCGATTTTCGGGCGAGAATGTGGAGATTTTAGTCGTCGCGTTTCGGGTAACCTTACTATTTCTTTTTGTAAATTTGTCTAAGAATTTTTAGTATCGGCGGCTGCGGTAGGTAATTTAATGTGCGACACATTCCACCACCTCAAGGAGGCGGCCAAGAAGAAGACAGAAGACCATACTGGAGGTCCGAGGCCACCCAGAGGAGGGGGTCGCGCACAAGTGATACCGTTCTATACTGTCAAATTAGCGCCCTGAGCAAAACGTGTTTTCCTGAAGCCGAATTCTTTACAGGCGACTATGTCACGGGAGCGACAAAGGCGGCGTGAGGGGATGGCCACCCTCTGCCACAGAACGAGCGAGGGACCCCGCTGTTGGTACCGCACGGAAGCCTCTGCCGAGAGGAGACCTTGAGTCTGGAGGCCGAGCGTGTCTGCCAAGAAACCATCGAATCCGGATGACACGCCGGCGACAGCAGTCCAGAGGGGACCGTGCGAGCAGCCGAAACGACGCCAGCCTGGAGTCAAATCTCGCGCGCTCAAGGATCTAGGGCGCGCGATGCGATAGTAAGTCGTGAGGACTCGCGGAAGCTCGCGAGATGGCCCGCGGCCAATCAGGGCCGATAAGGCTTATCACGTGGGCCGACGGTCACCTGCGCGTCCCCGAAGAGACCTCGGGACCGACACTTGCGCTGTGGACACTGGCAGAATAAGACGTGCGGGAGCACACAGGACGGCAAGGACAAACAAGCGAGTACCGAGAGGATTCTGTGGTGAGACGAACTTAGAGTATTGTAAAGCCGCCGATTTCTGAATTGGGGGGATCGCACGCATCCGCGAAACTGTCGTTGGATCCCGTGGGGTTGGATCCTTTCGCG